ATTACTCAAGAGAAAAAGACAAAAAAAGAAACAAGCTTTTTCACGTGACTTTCACCTCACGCCGCCACTCACACGTACGAACCAACCTCCCAAAACAAATATTATTTTTTATAATTAAAAAAAAACAAATAAAATAAAAAATAAAAAATAAAAAGAGGGGGAAAAAAAAAATCTAAGGCCGGTTTTGGGACAGAAAACAGAGAACGGAAGAAGTTGAATGACAAAATGGGAGGGAATGATATCGCCGGAACGATGATGACCAAGAAGAAGAAGAAGAAGGGACGTCCTTCTCTCCTTGAACTCCAGAAACGTTCTCTCAAGCAGCAACAGCAACAGCAGCAGGAATCCGCTAATCTCACAAACCCTAATTCGTTCAATCCCAACCGCCGATCCACTCGCCGGAATCCCAATTCTGACGGATCCTCTCCCGGAGGAGGGGAGTCGATTAACGCCGGCGGGGATGACGACGATGAGAGGCAGCGGAAGAAGCACAAGCTTTTGCTTGGTCTGAATTCCAGAGGAAGGCATTATCCGATTAACTCTGCATCCCATGGATCCGATTCTAATTTGGACGGCGATGATCCCGAGGTAGCAGCGCTCAAGCGCCGCAAGATCGGCGACGTTCCGCCTGGATCTGATCAAACGGTATCGAATCGAATCGATGAATTTCTGGTTTCGGGATTTTTTTTTAATTTGTAATTTTTAAAAAAAATAAATATAGTTTTGGAATTTCGCGGGTAAATTGAAGTCAGTGAGTGGATCAGGAAGTTTGACTGGGGTGGCTGTTAGGGCATATTTATTTTACGAAACTTTTTTGGGTTTTTGGAAAATTAGGTATTGGGTGGTGGGTTTCAGTTTTCTTTCTTTATTTCCTAATTTACGATTTTTGAATATTATTTTATTCTTGGGGTTGTTTGTATTTAATCTGGCCTTTATTTATCTGCCCAAAAATGCTAGTTGATGCAGAGACCCAATACCATCATTTCTGAAAAAGCTTCAGTTTGTCTTTTCTTTAATTTCTCAGTTATTTCCCTTGTACTTGCTTTGCTTTGTTATGGCTTTTTACTGTAACTTTTCTCAATTCTTAGTAATAAATAATAATAATAATAATAATAATAAAAAGAGAAAAACCCAGCTAATATCTCAACCAGGAGATTATTATCAACTTTTTGTGTTCTGGGTCAATTGTATATGAGCATGGCTGATAATGAAATTTCTTTGTTACAGGGAGAAAAGGCTTCGAAAGCGACAGGCAGTCTTCATGGTATCAATCTATCTCGAAGTTCATGAAAAGTCATTTCTGGGAATTCTTGGAAAAGTGTGATTTTGTAATTAAGTTTGATTAAATTATTGTCATGTCATATGTATTTGTGGACAGGGTCACTGGTGGAGTCTGGCCCCACGACACCTTTGTCAGACAAAAAGTTGTTGGTCTTCATTCTTGACAGACTTCAAAAGTGTGTTGGTTTTAGCTACTTGCATTTTCTCTTTTATCCTCGTGTTCTTTTTACTGGGTTTTAATTGCTTTACTTTAATCTCCTTGCAGGAAGGATACTTATGGGGTGTTCTCTGATCCGGTGGATCCTGAAGAGGTGCATTTAGTTTGTCAGTGTTGAATTAATGTTAATTAATTGAAATCCAGTTCTTAACATGATGTTTGATTGATTTTGCTACAGCTTCCTGATTACCATGACATTATTGCAAATCCGATGGATTTTAGCACAGTGAGGAAAAAACTTGATGCAGGAGCTTATACAACCTTGGAACAATTTGAGGTTTGTTTTCAAACCGTTCCCTTAGCTAGTTTGGATACTCAAGGCAGTGTGTATTTGTTGTTGTGGACACACTAGGTGGGTGGACCAAGCCAAGAAATTGTCTGGTTGCATCATTTTCCGAGGCAGCTCATTTTTTTGTTGCTGATTTGGGTTTTCTCACCCGGATATTGTACTTAATTCAAATTCTTTTCCTGGCCTTTTTTCAAGCTGGATCATTACAGTATGTATCCATCTTGCTGCTAACACTAGCTTACTCTGTGGAGAGTGTTTCAAGTTGTGAGGATAACAGGCAGGGTAGATGTACTGTGTGTATCCTGTTTAAGAAGTTATTTTTAGTGTGTTAAGTTTAAAGGACTGAGAATCCAGTAGCGTAAGGTAGACCTCAGTTTTAACACATAAACAAAACTCTGTTGTTTCTTTTTACAGTAGCTATAGGCTATAGCTAATTCGTCTTCATCAGTAAGCATAGGCCACAGTTTTAGACATTTCTACAAGCTTTAGAGCTGATAAGTGTATGCATAGTTGACTTACCTTCATGATTGCCAGGTGATGTGCTCTAATCTGTGTAGATCAATTACACAGTACTGCTAGCATAATTTTGCCTGGATATTTACTTCGAGATTTGAAATCATCATTGTAGAATAATGTTCCAAGAAGATGGTTTATGTGATGTTGTCTTCTTTTATTATTCTTGTTCTTCTGACAATCCCACAAGAATCTAAAACTCATGCCTCTGATTCATGCAGAAAGATGTATTTTTGATATGTTCGAATGCAATGCAGTACAATTCACCAGACACTATTTACTTTCGACAGGTTTGGCTGCCTCTAAATATGTGATATGTTCCATGTTTTAAGTATTTTTTTGTTTTATTATTTTAATGGTCTTGACCATTTGCTTAGGCAAGATCAATACAAGAGCTGGCTAAAAAGGATTTTGAGAATTTGAGACAAGATAGCGATGACAGTGAACCGCAGCCAAAAGTTGTGAAGAGAGGTAGACCACCAGGAAAGAGCATTAAAAAATCATTGGAATCATCTTCTTTGGATCGCATTGGTTCTGAATTTTCATCAGATGCAACCCTTGCTACTGGAGGGGATGCTGCCAACTGGTCAAGTAGTTTGAGGAAAGGAACTAATTCGTACAATCTCCGGCCTGCTGAGGTATTGATCAGGACTTCATATGGTATCCACAACCATGAGACTCATGGCAATTTATCATCAGAATGGGAGAATGAATTTCCAGGTTTGTGATTTCCAGTTGATTTTGATTTACAATATTAGTCTGTACTTGGCTCTTGTAAGACATACTTTTATTTGTCTTTGCAGCCTCTGTTGTGAGGGCTGTGATGAAGTACGGAATGAAACATTTTCCAGTAGATGAGAATAAGCGTGACACCTATAACCATTCATTGAATTCTGGAGATGAACAATCTCTCTTTGGCACATTGAATGGACGATCTAAACAATTAATTCCGGTGCGTATTTGTGAGGGGGTCTGAATATTTTGAGTAATATATAATTGCCAGTCTTGAAGTAAAATTGGTTGCAAATAATCACAAAGAAACTGTGCTATTTTTAGTTATATCCTGTGGGCCATTAATAGCATGATATCATTCCTGTTAAGTCATTTTGTTTTTATCTTCCTTGATTTTATTTGCTTGAATAATTGTTGGGGCTTTTTATATGTGAAGACGTACTAATTACCACGTTTTCTCAATTTTTATCAGGTTGGTCTATATGAGAATGGATATGCAACAAGTTTGGCACGATTTGCTGCAAATCTTGGGCCTGCTGTTTGGGAAATTGCTTCAAAGAAGATTGAAAGGGTTTTGCCAACTGGGCTCCAGTTTGGTCCTGGATGGGTAGGAGAAGTCAGAGGCAACGAGCAGCAGCAGTTCATAAATTCTGAAAAGGAGAAATCTTCAAACAACTCTCTACCTGATAACCATTCAACCAGACATTTTTCTCCAGCTACTTCAGGCTCAAACTCTGCTCTAGCTAATCGATTTCCTTCCCAAGGTGGAGAAGATGCGGAAACTGCCAGAGGACTAAATTCCCAAAGTGAGTTGAGTTCACCATACAATAGAGTTGGCAAGACAAAACCTCTACCACCTTACCATTTTCAGCAAAGACCTGCACACTCTGATATGAATGGTCTTTGTGGTGGATATGGGGTAAATCCTTCTTCTCAAATAGGAATGGTAACACCAACAGGGAATTGCAGGCCCAGCAATCCTACAGTTACCTCTCAAATGTTTGGCATGATTTCAGATGGCATCCCTTCTTTTAGTCCGATGCCTGCAGATAATTCAGGCAGATTACACTCTGGCAATAAAATGGCCCTAAACTCTGACTCAGCATCACATACAGCAACTGATGTTCAGGTTCAGCTTCATGGGAAAGCATCAGGGCAAGGATTATCACCTTATGGTAAACAGGACTTCCATCCATTTCCTCCTGATCTAAACGTGAGATTCCTTGCACCAAGCTCTCCCAGTTCGTCTAGTCTGCGTATTGGTTCACCCCAGCAGCCGGATCTGGCATTGCAGCTCTAATAATAGATTGCAGCTCTAATAATAGATTGCAGCAATTCAATTAAACATTAAGGCAATTAAACATTAAGGCAAGCACATTAGTAGGATTTTTTTCTTATATATTAACTACATTGTTGGGCCATATGCTCCACCTTTCTGATATGATGGTTTACTGAGTAGCAGTAACTCAAGGAGTCATAAGATGAGATTGTAGGAGAGATACTGTACAGATTGATCTGTCTGTATTTTTTTTTTTTTTCCTTAGGGTTAAAATCACAGGTGTTCCATCCACAGGTAGTGGCTCATATGGCAAAAGGCACCTGAGCACTCCCTAATGGATACCTAGATGGGCAGTTTGAATTTGCTTTCTCCCATCACCTGGAACCCCTGTAACCCTAAATAGGAAAAAAAAAAAAAAATCACAGGTGTTAAATTTGATTTCTTTTGAACAGTCCTCAATATGTCATACATGACTTCTTGGTACTTAGATATTTTATAAAATAATATACCCATAATCTTTCTGCTTACATATTACATGGAGTGCATTGTTTCCAATGTCCATTATGTGGTTCGAAGGTGGTTGGAAGTTCCTTTCATTTGATTTTCTGAAAGGGATTCAATTATGGCCAGCAGGGAAATTGTTGTCACCACAATTTTTTTGGTTAAATTATTTTTTTTATCCATTTAATTTAAAGGAATACTTATCTTTTCAATTTTGTCCTTCTTACTTTTTTCGGTGGCCATAATGAAGTCGAAGTAGAATTTTCTTTCTCCTTTTTCTAGCAGGAAAAATGGGGTAGAAATCTGTGTACACAGCTCAAAGTGGGGGGTTTCCTGACTCTACAGGACTGATGTGTTAGTTTAAGACCACACGCAGAGGACATCAATCTGAATCTGGATGTATCATTTATAATGGGCTTTTCCTTTTTCTTTTTTTTTTCCAGGTCCTAGCAAAGACAAAGACAGTCTTAAGCTGGTGGACTATTCAAATCTTCTGTCCTTTTTAGTCCGATAAAAAAAAACATTAACAAATCTAGTAGTAGTCCTAAATCAGATATAGTCTAAATCTAAGTACTAGTAAGTGTGGATTAAAATAAATACAACTCCGTGATTAAGACCACGAGGCAAGCATTCTGAATTCTCATCTATGGTTGGTCCAAGGTAGCTCACCCAAATACCCAATCACAGTTGTTTTTCCCTTATTTACGCACATCTCCATCCATCCCAACTTCCGGTCCCATCTAACCAAACCCTCTTCATCCCTATCATGTGCCATAATATACTATTAACAATCAATCATAATTAAAAAAAAATTAATTATATAATAAAAAATAAAAAAAATTTATTATCATATCTCATTTGTATATCATGTATATTATATAATTTTTTTTTTTAAACTAAGGGAAATTGTGGGAGATAAGGGAAGTAATGCTTGGATGTAGAACCCAAAACTTGTATGTCATAACACGTTTCAAATAGGTTATAATCATTAAACCACATAGTGCTAGATGTATGTTATATAATTTGGATTCAAAGATTTTTTAAAAAGATATTATTTGTCAATGGTAGGATGGTAATTTAGTACCTCACAGGTGGAAATTACCTCACAGGTGGGACGCAATCAAGGGTAGAATGGTAATTTAGTACTGCCCTGAAACGTTTTAATGGGGGAGAACAGTGAATGGCTGAGCAGGATGGAGAGCGACATGCAACAATAATTTGAAAATTCCATAAAAGGCAACAAAAAAAAAACAGGCTCTCAGTCCCCACCCATATTTAAAAACAAAAATAACAACTGAATTTGAAGGTAATTTTTTTCCAACACAAAAATTAAAAATTTTAAAAATTTTGGATATAAAAATAGACTTCCACCATATCTAATTCATAATTTTTTGAATGGCTCATATAACTTTTGAACTTATTATTTTTTTCATTTTGATTATAAAATATATTTTTTGAAAAATAAATAAATAAATCTGCAAACTTATATTATAAGTCCATTGGCTTATCTCCGAATTTATGTAGAGCTTGAAAGGAGAGCTGAGCTCTTAATGATTGCCGCTTAATCTGGAACTTAATTCATCCATCCCACATTACTAAATTTACCATTTTTTATATTTAATTTTAGTATCACCTTCCCAATTCCAATGTAAGGAGGAAGGACGTTTGGCTAACTTTTCTCGGTCTGAAAACATTTTCCGGGAAAATTGTAGAATCTGTTACAAATTTTTATCAGAAAATGGGTTTAATATTTAGCAAAATTCAGTCTTTGTGGCGCGTTCTGGTGATTAGGATCTGAACAAAATTGGTGCTGGTTGTTGTTTGGAGGCAGCAAAAGGAGGAAGCTTCTCTTTCTCTCTATCTCCTTGAGGTTTGGGTTGGATTTTGTTGCACTTGAATTCCCTTTTTCTTTTTGGGTTTCTCTGTTTCAATGTTTCCCCCCTTGTAGGTTGAAATGTCTGAACTTGAGGGTTTGAATGATTGTGTAATAATAAGGTATTTTGGGTGTTAATGTTATAGCAATTGTTGATTATGAGTAATTGTTGTGTTGTGCAGAAGAGAGAAATGAGTTGTTTTCCTTGCCTTAGTCCAGGCTCCAAGGATATTAGGATTGACATTGATAATGGGAGATCTAGTTCTCGACTTTCTGTCGATTCCTCAGGTTTGTTTGTCTCTCATTATTCTTTGTTTTGTTATTTTGGTTCAGTTTTCAATGTGGGTATTTTACATTATTTGTTAAAGTTGTTTTCTTTATGTTTTTTGTGGATTAGTTTTGAGCAGTGCACAGGAGAAGGCGATTCCAGAGGGTAATGGTTAATTAGGATTTGTGCTCCTGATTTCAGTGAATTTATAAAGATGTGTTTGTCGCGGTGTTTCTCAAACTTTCTTATCTCTTTTTCAGAGAATGGGATAGGGAATGATCATGTGAAGAGCCCTAAAGGCAGCGGAGCACATAGTTTTACATTTAAAGAACTAGCTAATGCAACTGGGAATTTTAGAGAGATTAACTTGATTGGGGAAGGTGGTTTTGGAAAGGTTTACAAAGGACGCTTGGAATCGGGGCAGGCAAGTTTCTGAAGTTAATTATTTTACCGTCTTTTTTCTACAACAATAGTTTAATTTGCATTATGGAATGAAGTTCACCTTTATCTGGCTGGCTTGTAGAGCTCCAGACATATATTAGAAGTGCGGAAGTTTGCTTATTTAATGTTGTAACCTATGATTACTTAATACCATTTTAGGTTTTTTATAATGATCTCCAGTTGGCATGCATGATGTATTGTTGATTTGTCAAGAACTTCTACTAGCACATCTTTCCCTGATATGTGTAATTTGATTGAATGGATGTGTTATTCTTATGAGCAGATTGTTGCAGTTAAACAACTTAATCATGAAGGTCATCAGGGGAATCAGGAATTTATTGTTGAGGTTCTTATGTTGAGCCTGTTACACCATCCCAATTTGGTCAGGTTGATTGGCTACTGCACTGCAGGAGATCAGAGGCTCTTGGTTTATGAATATATGCCAATGGGTAGTTTGGAAGATCATCTTTTTGGTAATTTCTTTATCTCCATGTTGTCTACCTTTCTTTCTTTCCTTTCAGTTTGTCCCTCACTCCATCTCTTGTTTGCAATATACAACTTGATGCCTTTCTTATCATCTCAGTCATGCATTACTTAGTTTCTTATTTGCATGATAGTTTATAAGTAGTGGGTTTTGATTTTTCTGGAGTTATGGAAAGAGCAACTAAATTTTAATAAATTTTGCTTCCCTTATTAAGTTTCTTATATTTGGTAGATTGCAAGTTTGCAACATGAACTTAGGTATTTTACTCCTTAATTTTGATACATTACCATCCCCTTATTGCAATTAATCATGAACTGTTTTGCTAACTGTACAAAAGCTTTATTTTAATATTGCTTTTGAGATGCGCATGGTTTATCTACTGCCATATAAGGCTTCCTTGTCTGTAGTAGCAGTATGAAATAAAGTCTTGCCATCATTTAGGCTTTATTCAATCTTAACTTTGCTAACCTGCTTGTTGTGACTTTCCTAGATATGACTTGCTGTCTCTTAGTCAACAAAAAAGCCAAAATCACCACTTTTCAAAGAAAGAATATTGCTTGAAGGCCAAAGAAATGAGAAACCTTTGCTTGTTATGTTCAAGTTGTATTTTGACTCTGTGAGGGATGGTGTTTCGCTTTGGTAGTTTATATACGTCAAAGGAAATTTTAAATAAAATATTTAATAATAGCAAGGAGTAGCTAAAGTTTTACTGTTTTGGTATGACAATATCCTTTAAGTTCTCTTCAAAGAATGACCATGCTCAAATTATTTTCAGATCTAGTAGCTGAAAAACAGCCTTTGGATTGGAATACTCGTATAAAGATTGCCATTGGTGCTGCTCGGGGAATTGAGTATTTACATTGCAAGGCCAATCCACCCGTCATCTATCGTGATATTAAGTGTGCAAACATTTTGCTGGATAAAGATTTCAACCCAAAACTCTCAGATTTTGGTTTGGCAAAATTAGGTCCTGTTGGTGACAACACACATGTTTCAACCAGGGTGATGGGAACTTATGGATATTGTGCCCCAGAGTATGCCATGAGTGGTAAATTGACTTTAAAATCTGATATTTATAGCTTTGGTGTGGTGCTATTGGAGTTGATAACTGGTCGGAAGGTACTAGATTTAGGTAGGAAGCAAGGAGAGCAGAACCTGGTCTCTTGGGTGAGTCAACTCTTTATTATTTTAGATTAATGGGTTTTATCATGCATCTGTTGCCGTGGAATTGGATCAGGTATCTAATATTGGTACCTGTTAGTTTTTCATTAAATTTTAAGCACTGAAGAGACATGCAGTAAAGGAGTATAGATTTCTAGTGAATAGTCCATGTAACAACATACCCATTTCTATCCCTCTTTATGTTCCTTCGTTTGTCTTTTATCTCTTTTCTCTATGATTCTGAAGGCTGTATTTCAGAGTTATGAACTTTCCCTTGTGAAGTCCTTTGACTGTGAGTTTTTAATAGGCTATTCTTCATGTGCTGTCTCCTATTTCATTCAAAGGATTGGCTACTTTGGAGTTAATATTACTTTGTTGTCTTTATTATGCATCCAAGTCGTAATACATTGCTTTTACTTGACCTACCTGCATGGCTGCATCTACCTCTCGATCTTGATTAGTTGTTTGTTCAGCTTTTATCTTTGGAATGGGTAATTTGATAAGCGTCTGTTTTATTACTTTGAACTAAAGAGTGTGGACAAGGTCTGCCCTTTTGCTTTAACTGATTCTTCGATTTCCATTGCAGTCTTGTCCATGTCTAAAGGATCCAAAGAAGTTTGGGCAATTAGCTGATCCTTTGTTGCAAGGACGTTATCCACGTCGTTGCTTCAACTATTTAGTTGCAATTACTGCTATGTGTCTAAATGAAGAAGCCACTTTCCGCCCCCTTATTGGTGACATTGTTGTTGCACTCGAATACTTAGCTTCTCAGAATCGAAGCTCAGAACCACGTAATGTTGGGGTCTGTGATGCCTCACAACAACAAGCATCATCTTCACGAGAGGAGAATAATTCCCTTCGTAAAAGATCCGAGTCCAGAAGTGCTACGACTTCTGTTTGAAGGTTTATCCAATAAGGGCTACATTGATCAAGTATGTTAATTCTCTTTAAATTAGGAATTCAACATGTTCAGTCACTTGATCCTTTTAGGAATGAACCGATTTAAATTTGCAGCAGCATTATATTAGGAAGAAAATCTTACGTAAAATGCAGTCCATTTTCATAATCACGACTCGTCCAAACCCTTTATTTGCACTATGCATATTATTTTTATTATTATTATTTTGCAATTAATACCTTTTATAATTTTTACTCTTGGTCAACACCCTCTATAATTTAAAACCAGTGAAAAACCCCAAATTACCAACAAATCAAAGTGCTAGTAGGGAGTTTGACTGTTAATTTTTGAGTTTTTTACAAGTTTGAAATTATAAAGGGTGTTGATTGGGAATCTAAATTCTTGAAGGGTGTTGACTGCAGAAAAAAAAATATACAAGAAGCAAATAGAAGGGGTTTGGCCATCAAGATTCTCTGATTTATGTGCAAATAGGGAGTTTAACAGTTAATTTCTGAGTTTTTTTACGGATTTTAAATTATGAAGGTTGTTGATTAGAGTAAAAATTTTTGAAGGGTGTTGACTGTAGGAAAAAAAAAATATACGAAAGGCAAACAGGGGGTTTGGCCATCAAGATTCTCTGATTTAAATTTGCAGTCACTACAATAGATAAATTCATCAGTCATCTGCTTATATTTTCTACATTTCTTTATGATCCACTGGAAAATTTTTTGAACAGGTATGTTTTGGTTACAGGTCACTATTGTTGTCGGGTCAAACACAGAAGAAAGACTCAGTCAAATTTCATATTCAATGTGAAAAGCATGCAACAAAAAGGCAAAAGCATCTGCATATGTATGTCTATATTTTTTCACTTTTGAGAAAATCTATTTATGTGTATATTACTCCATAATAATTAGCATTTTTTCGCAACTTGCCGATAGCATTGCGCGACCTAGAACTGCTGTCCACTGCCTGTTTGCTTGAAGTGGGAAACATTTCTGAAAAAAAAAAAAAAAGGAAAGAGAAAAGTTATATTTATATATACATGCGATTTTCCAGTCTTCATTTTTTTTATATATATATTAATCTTTTAGTATTTAATAATCATATTAAATCTTATCTAATTCAAAATAAAATTATGTCGGACCTAATTAGGAGAAATTTTTCTGACACCTATTTTTTTACTCTTCTTGAAATCGAGCAGTTTTCTCATCTTTGCTATCTCAACCTTTGCTAGGAGTGATGTAGTGCTGAATCATTGCATTTGAATAAAATTACTATAAAAAATTAATGAACTTTACACCAACAAAAACTATAATTCAATTAAGAGGCTTTTTTTTTACAACTTATTAATATTCAAAAATTACATTAAATTTTAATTAATTTAAAGTTAAATTGTGTTCAACCCGCAAGAGAAGCCTTTTAAATTCAATTTAGAGGCTTGAAATTTTAAGAAAAGTAAGAACCACTTTTTACTTGGTTAAATATTAATTTTGGTCCCTCAACTTTGGATTTTTGTATAGCTTTCATCCCTCAATTTCTTATACACTTTTTTAGTTTTTTAATTATAAAAAATGTACTTTTTCAATTTTTTTATCAATTAATTTGTCAAATATATCTTTTTTTTTTTTTGGTTTCCCGTCCAGTATCCGAGACTTCGCCTCGACTAATCCAGATCTGACCGTGTCGCGCATTTGGAAATGGTGAGTGAGTCTCCTAACGGGGCTACTGCGTACACAAAGTCTCGAATTCGAGACCTTACTTAAGCTGGAACAAGCCGCTTACCACTTGATCCAACTTCTCGTTGATTTGTCAAATCTATCTATATATATAGACTTTTAGTTCATAAACTTTTAAGTTGAGAGATGAAAATTGTGTAAAATTATAAAGTTAAAAAACTAAAAATGTATATATATAGACAGACTTAACAAATTAATTGACAAAAACTAAAAAATGTACTTTTTTTTTATAGTTGAAGGACAAAAGAAATATAAAAAAAATTAAGGGATGAAAACTATGTAAAATCTTAAAATTGAGAGAATTAAATTAAAATTTAACCTTTTAACTTTTAGAGATGATCATTCCGAAAACTCGGCAACTTGTTTAACTGAACAATTGAATTATATAGTAAGATTATTGTTTATCAATCCCAACATCTAAAAAAAATTAAAGATTCAACTTATATTTAAAAACTAAAATCTTAATTTAAAATTCAAAAATTCACTCAGTTTTTAAATCTAAATATTAATATTTAATAAGATAAATTTTTAAATTTTAAATTGAATTTTAATTAAATAAAATAATATAATTTAAGGTTAAAACTCTAATTTTTTTTAGAGTTCTAGGCTGATATATATTTTCCCCTTATATTGTATATCATTGTTACCTGAGCGAAATACCATATATATTCTTTGTGGAAAGGTTTAAGGTGCGGTTTTGTTTGGTTTAGTTGTTTAAGTTATAACAAACAATTAATAACCGCTATCTGATAATTATTTTTGTTTTGAATGACTGTTTGGATATAATATGAGAAGGAATTTATTGACACATAAGTGTCACATATTACATTTATATAAAATTTTGATAATTTACCGTTTCACTTTTAATGATTAAAATTTATTATGACTTTTTAGATTAAAAAAATTATTTTTAATAAATATAAATAAATTTTAACCATTGAAAGTGAAGAAATAAGTTTTTGAGATTTTATGTAAATGTGGTGTATAAAACTTATATGTAAGTAAATATTTACTACATATATAAAGTAGAAATTTACTACACAAATTTTATACACTATACTTATATAAAATTTTGATAATTCATTTATATCTTCACTTTTAAAGTTTCAATGGTTGAAATTTATTATAATTTTTTAAATAAAAAAATAATTATTTTTAATAAATATAAATAAATTTTGATAATTAAAAATAAAAAAAAATAGTCTACATTTTATATAAGTATAATATATAAGATTTATATATAAATAGATTCTAATATATATATATATAATTGTTAGCTATTATTGTGTATGTATTAAATTATTTATAAGGACATATTTTGCATGTATCAATTTTTAATTAATAATGATAATGTTTAAAAAAAAAATTAACAAACAAATTATTGTAGACAGTTAATTTATTAAGCGTTTAGTGGTGCTTTTCTCCTCTGCAAGTTCTGCTATTTCAATTTACTTTCTATGGTACACAATTTTAAAGCGATGTATTTTCCTTCTATATAGCTTATCAAGTTTCTTTTTTTCTTTTCTCCCATCCCAATTGCTTATTTCTTTTGGTTTCTGTAACTATGCTCTGTTATAGAATAATTCTTGTTTTTAATCACATAGCCAACGTAAGAAAACTATGAAATTATGAAAGTTTTATCCAGTTACATTTAAGAAATAGAGCTGTAAAATTAAAAATTAAACAAATACTGAAGACTTACAGACACTCTTTTAGTTGTCCTATTAATTTCCTTGATTTTATGTTAATTAATTTGATAATTTTAATAAATAAATGATAATTGAAAAAAAAAATTTAATCTAAATGAATATATTCAACAAGCACTATATTAAGAAAGAAAAACATTTAATTACAGTCAAACTTGTTGGCTAAATTACAAACAAAATTTTCAATGAATAATAATTACTAAGTTGGCCAACAATATAAAAATAATAATTACTCATCTGTTTGTCATAAAAAGTTATTAAGTCAAATTTTACACACAAAAAAAAAAAAATCAAATTATAATGACTAAAACAGACTGGAAAGAGTGTGAATAGCTGTTAAAAAACAACAACAATTGACACCCAATAGTTATTAACTGTCGATGATTGGCTAAAAAACTATGTCCTTCCATTTTTCATAAACCAAAAATGCCCTATGGCAGCCCATGATTCTAGTCCAACGGTTAACAGTAAAATAAAATTGATCTCTTTTGTCCTCTTCCAACGTGAAAGACATGGATGGAAAACAATTGTCTAAAAGATTTGAGAAAATGCATGTATGTGTAGCCATAGTCTTCAAGTTAAGACATTAATTCATGGGATTATGATGATAAAGTTTCCCTTTTTTACAAGTTCAAACGTGAAAATAGGGACTTCATATTGTGGGATTTGAATATGTGGGACTTAATAACGAAATCATTGAATTTTGGAAGTAAATTGCCGACCAACTTCAAGAAGTAGGGTATGTTTGTGCAAGCACAACTCGTAGACTCTCTCAAGTCTACATGGCAATTGCCTTGTAATAAGAAAGGATTTTTTTATTGTATATATTAAAAAATAGTATAGTTATAATGTCATGTGTAATATAATATGTTGTTATATAATGAGTTTTTTTTTTATTTAAGAATTTATTTATAATATTATATATATTCACTCATTTAATATTATATCATATTAATTTAATGATATATAATTATTATAAATTTATAATTTTATATGAGATTATGATTATAATATTACCATATCTTTTAAGCATTTAACAAGCTGAAAGTATAAGAAGTAAGAATATCACTTTTAAAAGTTTTTCCAATCAAGAGTATCGTTATTTTTTTAATTAATTAAAATTATCACATTTTAAAAGTTTTTACTTAAGAATATCAACTTTTCGTTTCACCGTTCAAGAAATAATTAGATGTTAGCATTGAGTTGTAAGACTAATCTTGTCCGTGGAACCCACCTAAATATATGTAAAAAATGAAAGGTACTGCTGACTTGGAGCTGAGTTGGATGATGCAGCAGAAGTGTCAACATGTAATGAGGTGTCCACACTTATGTACCCAATTCCACTCAATAATATTGTTTAGGAGAGTTTAAAAAGTATTTACTTTAAGAATACCATTTTTATCTTATAAGTTTGAAATTTTGTTAGAGAAGAATTTAAAATTTATCTTTTAAAGTCAATTTTAAGCAAATTTTGAAAAAAATTGAATGTATAGCATTTTCAAAACTTACTTAAAATTCACTTAAAATGTTAATTTTAAGTGTTTTTTCTCCAATAAAATTTACATTTATGAGAGAAAAAAAATATTTTTAAAGTACTTCTTAAACTCTGGCAAACGGCATTAGCATGGGAAGCAAATTCTAAATGGGTAACAAATTCATAACACACAGTATCGACACCAAAGAAGAAGGTGGTGTCAACACCCAACCCGGGGTTTTTTAATCTCTTTCGTAATTTTTTTAATGGTAAAACAGCCCATCTGTGCCCTTCTTTTTTCACTTTATGAACACTTTGATATTTAAACTTCAAATTCATTCATTTAGATTCATAACTGCCACTTTTCTTCTTGCAATATAGTCTCTCAATTTTTAAAAAATTATTGCTACACTTATAAACTAGTTAAACCTAACAAGATATACCATACACACTTATTAAAACTAATTTGTCTTATTCCTAACAAGCTAAAGTGTCTATATTAGAACAAACCATATAATATCTTAACCCTTTCTTATTTTTTAGGATTTAAACCACCTCTCATGCTAGGCAAAGGAATCTGAGCAGGATTTGAAATATCACCAACCACACACTAACAACGAAAACAGCCTGTTCAAAGATCACTGCCAATAGAACAATGCAAAAATAAATGGCTTGCTAGCTGTTTCATCACAAATTCCACGAGGGTTACAAGCAACCAAGCTAGTGCCCACTAGCCTTCTCACTTCTATATATTGAATTTTGAGGAATTTTATCATATGGTTCTTGCTATGTGAAAGCACTGACTTTTGAAGGTATGAGAGAATCTCATACCCTATATATCAAAATTTATGGCTAGTTAATCAAACTGAATTTTGCATAAGATGCTATAACCTGAACTTGCACTATGCTTGCTTATGTTTCCAGTTTCATTCATCTTGTTTCCCATATGTTAAAGCCTTGTTGTCCAGCACCACCAAATTTAGATTCAATTCATAGTCTGTTCATGTGAGAAAACGATTTTTAAATTGAAGTGTTTTGTCAAATTTTCAAATGAACAAAAAGAGATTATATATATCAACGAATTGGAATTAAAAACAATAAACAAAAATCAACGCTGATAGAGATTGTATGATTACAGATAGGATTTTTTTTATCCTGTGTCTTAAGGCCATAAGATAAGGGTGCAATAAATGAACATTTTTATAATTAATTTTTATTAAAAATATAAATATTAATTTTGATTTAATTAATTAACCAATTAAATTATTTATGTGTCAGTGATGTTAAAATATACGTCAACTTTTATAATTTTTCATGTAAATTAATTATAAAAGATATATTTATTATATTTTTAATTTATTCCCTTAAAAACATAGAGTAGACAAATCCTTACTAATAAGACTAGGATATTAATTAGACGTGTAACTACCCATTAAATCACACATTTAACTATAAGTGAAAAAAAAAATACTAATATAATCATGACTGGTGTTTAAAACTATAAGATTGTATTGCAAAATAAGTTTGTATATATGCATCATTTTCATAGAAGGTCTCATTCCAAGAACTACGTTCATTAAGAATTGTTCTCTCATAGGCTGGATTCAAGGATGTCAATGGTTAAAAAATTAATTTTTTAATACATTAGGTAAATATAAATAATAAAAATTTATTTATATATAAATTTTATACATTATACTTATATAAAATCTTAATTTTTTATTTTTTTTATTTTTAATAATTAAAATTTATCCTTTTTTTAGATAAAAAATAATTATTTCTAATAAATAAAATAAAAAATAAATAAATCTTAACTATTAAAAATTAAAAAATAAATAATTAAAATTTTATATAAATATAATATGTAAGTATAATGTGTATATAAATTTTTAGTCAAATATAAAAGGTATGCCCTTGAAACTACTAAGAGAAACAATTACTTTTTGTTGGATCAAAGAAAAGTCAAAATCTACAGTGTTAGGTTTTGGTGATTGATATCAATTTTCAAATTTTTGAATTAATGGCATTTAGACTAAAAAATGTAACCCCTGTTTTCTTTTCTTTTTTTTTTTGTAAGGAAGAGTACTTCTCGTACTCTAATAAATTTTGATTCATCAAAAAAAATTTTCAAAATGCAGAAAAAATTGGGCAACAGATAATAACTATAACTTAATATATATATAAAGAGACTTTAAGAGTAGGGTCAAATTAGGAGAGCGAGAAGCATGCATTGAAATAGTAGTAGTAGTTGAAGAAATCAACTTGGACAGTTGGACTTGTAGATGTTCAAAAAGAATTTTTAATGAATAACTCGCTTAACAGATGGACTGGGTTATTGCAACAACGTGAATTTTTTGTATAAGGGTGGTATTTTATGTTTGTTTACGGTAATGAATATTTTTTTATATTAATTTATTAAAAATATCTAATTAATTTATAAATATTTTTAGAAAATATTTTTTTTATCTTAAAATGATTATCATTTTTTAATTTTAAATTTATCTTAAATTAATTATTATTATTTTTTTATATTTTAAAGTATAAAAATATTTTTTTAATTTAATCATATCATTATATATTTATTTTGATTAATTATTTTCTTACAAAAAATTTAATTTAACTTTCTAATTGTTTTTAAATATAATATAAGTAAATATATAAATTTTTTTAATTTTTAATTTAAAAAATAAAAATAATAATAATTTTTAGAAAATAATATTTTTTCTATCAGTTGGATTTTAAAATCTATAACCCTGTTTATCGTAATGTATTTGTTCATAAAAATTGCATATTTATTCTGGCCATCAGTACAAGCCAGCTAAGACAAACTTAAGAAATTAGTATCGTTGAACCAAAAGTGACATGAAATCGAGTTTAATTTGACTTTGAAAGTTTGAACAACCATGAAATCAGTAGTGGTGGTAAATAATCTATTTTTTATCGCAGAGATTCCTTACTCGATCAAAAAGGGTCAGTGGAATCACCTTAGCTAAATAATAATAATAAAAAAAATAATGTTATAAGGATAATTTTTTTATTTTATTTTTTTTTATAATTTTTATATGTCATTAAATGAGTTAATGATTTAATATTATGAGTCACATATAAATTTAAAAAATTAATTATTTTAATGATACGTCAAATTATATAAAAATGTGAGATAAAAAAATTATAAAAAAAACATTTCCCATAAAAATATTTACGATTGGATTCAAATTTCTATACTTTTTGGGTAAAATCCCAAATCAAAGAAAACCCACGACCATTATGATTAAAGAATAATGATAAATTGATCAAAATTTGAGACAAAAATTTAAAATTAATAATTTATGTTATTTAAAATATATTAAGAAGTAAATTTTATATTATTTAATAGATAATTTTTTTAAATTAAT